TTTTCAGTGAAATAAGTCTAGCTCAATATTTCAGCTTGTCTGTAGATTCCTCTTCTGATCTTTCTCATACAGATCAGCTAAGTATTGTTTTAAGATACGTAGCTCCAACAGATGGAAAACATGTCGAGCGATTCATCACATTTACTAGCTTAAAAAGTCACACCAGTGAAGAAAATACAAATCAAGTACTTCATTACGTATGAGAAATTTGCAAAACCGTTTTTCTAAGTGCAGAGGTCAGTCCTATGACAATGCTGCCAATGTCGGGGCATTATAAAGGTATACAACAGAAAATTTTAGAACATAACAAATATGCCATTTTCATACTAAAGTCCTGTGCAATCACTTCATCTTGCAGGACGCAGCGCAGTAGACTGTTATCCAGAGGCAGTTGATTTTTTTTCAATTGTTCAGGTACTCTACACAGTTTTTGCCACCTCTACTCATCAATAGGCAGTTATTAAGATGATTTTGAAAATTTTGAAAACACAAACAAATACTGCCGAATACTGATTATCAAGCAGTTCACCGTCAGAGAAGCATTAGAAACAAACAATGACTGACGTGCTCCAGAAGTACTGAGTGACAGAGACCAATTTCGTGTAATCACATACTACATGTACATCAACACACCTGAAATTTGCATGAAAAGAAGGGCTAAAGTCTATGAAGTTCTTTCAAATAGATTTTTCTTCTTAAACAATGTGGCTATACCTGATGAAGAATGCATGAAGGCATCCAAAAAATTAGTGCAGGCTCATCTCGAGGACTTAAATACAAACCTTCACAGAGAAGTGAGACAATTTCATTCTTACATGAAAACTAAGTTTACAGGTTTAGGAAAGATAAATTTTACTCATGTAGGCATGTATGATTCCATAACAGAAGATAAATACAATGCATATTTCTCAATGTTGAAACTGCTTTACCCCATATTCCTAACTTTAATGATCACAAACTGCACAGAGAACACTCATTTTTATCCCTAAAGAGATTCAAAAACCCTCAGCATATAACAATGATTCAAGAATGACTCAATTCATTCTCCTTATTAGGTATGGAAGTATATACTGTTCGGCAGCTTAACTGTGATGAAATCAGTCACTGAAGAATTTGTAAGAGCAAAGAATAGAAAGAAATGTTTTTAATTATAACACATTAGAGATGAAAGATCTACCTAAAAATAAAATAATTTGTTGTAATATTTGTTTCCTGATCATTATATTTTCTTTTATGACATCTTTTCACTTGTTCATTTACAATTACAGCATTTATTATGAAACAAGCATCAAAACTGAAGTATGAGCCATTTAAAGCAAAACTAGTAAATTTTTCATTGTGGGAGATAACAGAATTTTACACTGACTGCAGAAACAACTAAGTTTATTGACTCATTTTCTTTGTTGTAGAATAGTCTTTTTGTAGAAAATGTGGAATATAGTAAAAATCATACACATCCACGAAAAATTTTATAATCCAGTTCACATCATTCCGCTAAAATGGCATACGCCACTTTTGTGTTCAATCACTAATACTACAGTTACATTTAAAAAGAAGTTACATCATGGATAGCTAAGACACACACTCACACACATGTATATTATTGTTAGGTGCCACTGAGTCAGTTCTAATTCATAGCGAACCTAGGTACAACAGAACAGAACACTGCCCGGTCCTGAGCTACCCTCACAATCTTTGTTAAACTTGAGCCCACTGTTGTAGCCAATGTATGACTCCATCTCATAGAGGGTCTTCCTCTTTTTCACTGACCCTCTACTTTACCAAGCAGGATGTCCTTCTCCAGGGACTGATCCCTCCTGATAACATGTTGAAAGTATGTGAGACAAAGTCTCACCATCCTTGCTTCCAAGCAGCATTCTGGTTGTACTTCTTCCAAGACAGACAGATATGTTTGTTCTTTTGGCAGTCCATGGTATATTCAGTATTCTTCACCAATACCATAATTTAAAGGCATCAATTCTTCTTTGGTCTTATTCACTGTCCAGCCTTCACATGCATATGAGGAGACTGAAAACACCATGGCTTGGGTCAGACGTACCTTAGCCTTCGAGGTCACATCTCTGTTTTTTAATACTTTAAAGAGGTCTTTTGCAGCACATTTGCCCAATGCAAACAGTCATTTGATTTCTTGACTGCTGCTTCCATGGGTGTTGACTGTGGATCCAAGTAAAATGAAATCCTTGACAACTTCAATATTTTCTCCCTTTAACATGATGTTACTTATCGGTCCAGTTGCGAGGATTTTTGTTTTATGTTGAGGTGTAATCCACAGTGAAGGCTATAGTCTTTGATCTTCATCAGTAAGTGCTTCAAGTCCCCTTCACTTCCAACAAGCACGGTTGTGTCATCTGCATATCACAGGTTGTTAATGAGTCTCCCTAAATCCGTATGCCTTGTTCCTTCTTCATATAGTCCAGCTTCTCGGATTATTTGCTTAGCATACAGACTGAATAAGCAGGGTGAAAGGATACAGCTCTGATGTCCACCTTTCCTAACTTTAAACCACGCAGTTTCCCCTTATTCTGTTTGAACAACTGCCTCTTGATCTAAGTACAGGTTCCTCATGAGCACAATGAAGTGTTCTGGAATTCCCACTCTTTGTAATGTTAGCCATAATTTGTTATGATCTACACAGTCGAATGCCTTTGCATAGTCAATAAAACACAGGTAAACATTTTTCTGATATTCTCTGTTTTCAGCCATGATCCATATAACATCAGCAATGATATCCCTTGTTCCACGTCATCTTCTAAGTCCGGCTTGAATTTCTGGCAGTTGCTTGCCAATATACTGCTGCAACTGCTTTTGAATGATCTTCAGCAGAATTTTACTTGCATGTGATATTAATGATACTGTTTGATAATTTCCACATTCTGTTGGATTACCTTTCTTTGGAATGGGTACAAATACGGATGTCTTCCGGTCGGCTGGCCAGATAGTTGTCTTCCAAATTTCCTGGCATAGACAAGTGATCGCTTCCAGCACTGCATCCGTTTGTTGAAACATCTTAATTGATATTTTACCAATTCCTGGAGCCTTGTTTTTCGCCAATGCCTTCAGTACAGCTTGGACCTATTCCTTCAGTACAAACGGTTCTTGATCATATCCTACCTCCTGAAATGGTTGAACACTGACTAATTCTTTTCGGTACAGTGACTCTGTACATTCCTTCCATCTTCTTTTGATGATTCCTACATCGTTTAATATTTTCCCCATAGAATCTTTCAATATTGTAACTCGAGGCTTCAATTTTTTCTTCCGTTCTTTCAGCTTGAGAAATGCCGAGCATGTTCTTCCCTTTTGGTTTTCTATCTCCAGGTCTTTGCACATTTCATTATAATACTCTACTTTGTCTTCTCGAGACGCCCTTTGAAATCTTCTGCATAGCTCTTTTACTTCATCATTTCTTCTATTTACTTTAGCTACTCTAACTTCAAGAGCAACTTTCAGAGTCTCTTCCAATATCCATTTTGGTCTTTTCTGTCTTTTTAATAACCTCTTGCTTTCTTCACGTATGAGGCCCTTGATGTCATTCCACCACTCGTCTGGTCTTTGGTCATTAGTGTTCAATGCATCAAATTCCTTCTTGAGATGGTCTCTAAATTCAGGCGAGATACACTCAAGGTCATACTTTGGCTCTCATGGACTTGTTCTAATTTTCTTCAACTTCAACTTGAACTTGAGCAACTGATGGTCTGTTCTGCAGTTGGCCCCTGGCCTTGTTCTGACTGATGATATTGAGCTTTTCAATCATCTCTTTCCACAGATGTATTCAATTTGATTTCTATGTATTCCATCTGGTGAGGTCCACATGTATGCTGTTAAAAAAGGTATTTGCATTGAAGAAGTTGTTGGCCTTCTAAAATTCTATCATGTGATCTCTCACGTTTCTATCACTGAGGCCATACTGTCCAACTACCAACCCTTGTTTCCAACTTTCACATTCCAGTCACCAGTAATTATCAATCCTGACTGCATCTTTGAACAATTTCAGACTGCAGAAGTTGGTAAAAACCTTCAGTTTCTTCATCTTTAGCCTTAATGGTTGGTGTTAAATTTGAATAACAGTCATATTAACTGGTCTTCCTTGTAGGCGTATGGATATTACCCTACTACTGACAACCCTATACTTCAGGACAAATCTTGAAATCTTCTTTTTGACAATGAATGGAACACCATTCCTCTTCAATTTGTCATTCTTGGCATAGTAGACTATATGATTGTCTGATTCGATTATGGCCAATAGCAGTCCATTATAGCTCACAAATACCTACGATACTGATGTTTATGTGTTACATTTCAATTTTTGATGACTTCCAATTTTCCTAGATTCATACTTCATACATTCTACGTTCCAATTATTAATGGATGTCTGCAGCTGTTTCTTCTCATTTTGAGTCATCCCACATCAACAGATGA